AAAAAGAAACAGACTCTCACAAATAAAATATTGAAGTCTGAAGGAGTTTATGAGACAACAGATGGAAAAGTTTACTTCACTGACCAACAGTTCATTATAGAACATCTCATTGACTTAGAGTCGAAATATTCTAAACTTTACAACAAACACAAAAAGTTGAAAGGAAAACAAAAACAAATGGCATATGATATTTATGAAGATGTTGACGACACAACTGTTCCTGCAGGTGAGGTAAAGTCAGAGGAACCGAAAAGTGACGAAAAACCGATAGAAGAAGAAAAACCAAAAACTGAAGATAAACCAAAACCAAAGTTTAGTTTCCAAACTAAACCAAGTCAACCTTCATTAGCTGGTATGGGTTGGCGTCAAAGACTTATGGCAGCAGGCGGTTATGTTAAGTAAAGAAAAAAATGTTTTTTTTTCTTTTTATAAAAATGTACGCTGAGTTTGTTGGAGAAGACCGTTGGGAAACTTGTTTGTTAGATGAGAAATATGAAATGGCATACCATTTTAAAACATTGCATGAAGTAAAACATTGCATGAAATAAAACATTGCATGAAATAAAAACATTTTTTAAAAAAAACATTTTTTTATTTTATTTGAAATGTACGCTGAGTTTGTTGGAGAAGACCGTTGGGAAACTTGTTTGTTAGATGAGAAATATGAAATTCACTGTTGTGAGCCTTTTGAAGTCAGAAACAAAAAGACAAAAAGAGTTTTAAGCGAATGGGAGCGAAATGACGGATATGTTATTGTGAAGATGAGTGGAAAACGCTATCTTAAACATGTCGTCATTGCAACTCATTTTATACCGAACTCTAACAATTTACCTTTTGTAGACCATATAAACCATATAAGAAATGACAATAGACTTGAAAATTTACGTTGGGTTACTCGTTCTGAAAACAATAAGAACATAAGCAAAATTGGAGATATTGTATTCGAATTTGTCGACGAACTAGAAGATGAAACAATTGAAATTACAGACTATGGCGAGCATACGTTTGAGTTTTACTACTATAGCGAAGAACAGGACTCTTTCTACTTTTATACCGGCGTAAACTATAGGAAATTACAAGTATATTTTACTAAGGCAGGCTATGCTTATGTAAACACTAGAGATACAGATGGAAAATGCGTTCAAATACGTCTTAACAAATTCAAGAAGCTATATGGCATACCATTTTAAAACATTTTTTAAAACAGTATATTTTTACATATATTAAATGTTTCAGGTTGAAAAACAAAGAACAAAAGTAGCAGATACAAAACCGTTAGACTATATCTTCACAAATGCCGGTAGGATTATATCAGATGAAGAAATTTCATCCGGTGCTTACAGGTTTGACTATCCAATTCGTTGGCTTCAAAGTCCTTCAGATGCAAAGGCAATAGGATTTAGAAGAGTTTTGTTTTCAAAAAGAACTAACGCATTTATGTTCGTAGTATATTTTCATGGTCAGTATAGAGGTTCTGATGGTCTAATAGACAAATTTGACGAAATGAGAATCTTTACAGTTCGTTCAGACGAAAACCTTGAGAAGACTCTAAATGACTTTCAAACTCAAATGAACAAATATTATTGGGAATTGCAAGAAAAATACGACTCTCTACTAAACGGAACTTACTATCTGAAACTAGAATATGACAAGATGAACTCCACAGTTTCATTTCAAAGGATTGAAAATAACCCTCCAAGAGATACACAGTTTTTATTTTGGGAAGTAGACAAACGTTCTTGGGCACAATTTCTTCGGTTACTAAACCAGAACGAACCATTACCACCTGACGGTCCGTTTAAATTTATACGCCCACCAACAGATTTGACAGTTTATAGAAACGTGTTCGACCCTCAAAATGTTATGTGTCATGCAAGTTTCAGTTCAAGCAACAACAGTTTTCTTTGTATCGGTAAGGACTTTTATGACCTTACCTCTAAATTCTACGAACCACCTAGTAACAGTTTCTCTGACTTTCAAGTCTGGTTCACAACAAACGGTGTGCAGCATATTATTCCATTATACTATGACTTTTATCTCGAATTGTCTTTCATATATAACTACGGAAAAGTGCTGAAAAAGTATTGAAAAATAATGTTTATGTTAGCATGTTAGATCTAACACGTTTTCTAACCACTTTTCTAACATCGTAGAAAACTCATGAAAACAATTTATTTTTGTGAATATGCAAGCGGCTCATAGCTCAGTGGTATGGGCTACCTCGTTAAAGGCGTCGAAGACCTCGGTTCAAATCCCGATTCGCGCAGGTTTTTTCCTTTTATGCAGTGAAATTTCATGTACATAGGTTACTTTGGTGTTAGACCCTAGTGAAGAAAATAGAACGATATAAGTTTACATTTGTAAGGTTACTTTGGTGTTAGACCCTAGTGAAGAAAATAGAACGATATAAGTTTACATTTGTAAAGTTGGACGATAAAAATCTCTGCTACTGTCAGTAAAAGTACTGCTACTGTCAGTAAAAGTACTGCTACTGTCAGTAAAAGTACTGCTACTGTCAGTAAAAGTACTGCTACTGTCAGTAAAAGTACTGCTACCGTCAGTAAAAAGGAAAATTTGAGAGGGTTTTCGACGATAAAGTACTGCTACTGTCAGTAAAAGTACTGCTACTGTCAGTAAAAGTACTGCTACTGTCAGTAAAAGTACTGCTACTGTCAGAAAAAGTACTGCTACTGTCAGTAAAAGTACTGCTACTGTCAGAAAAAGTACTGCTACTGTCAGTAAAAGTACTGCTACTGTCAGTAGCAGTACTGCTAGTAGCAGAGATTTTTATCGTTGTGGTCCGACGGTTAAGCCACAAACGAATGTCCGACGTCCCACCAACCGAGCCCATTCCCAAGCCAGAAGAACCGAAAGCACCAGCCCCTGCACCTCAGTTCCAGCAAGTCCCTCCACCAAATTACTACCAATTTCCACCTCAAGGTTACTACCAATTTCCACTACAAGGTTACTACCCACCACAAGGCTTCCCGAACTACCCTCCTCAGCCTATGCCTTACTTCCCCAACCCTTGGTTGTTCCAGCAAGCTCCACCCCAGCAATTCCAATCTCAATCCCAATCGAAGAGAGACCAAGAGTTCGAAGAAGGTCTGAACCGTTTACGCAAAGATTATGCCACAGCCCCTATGGAAGCCGACAGGCTTTCAGTCTCTTCCCTCAAATCGACCGATTCGACTCGTACCACAGATTCGGTTCGTGACCGTGAAGACTACCTCAAGCAGTCTGAGAGACTCTTCATCCTACAGCCATTTACAGTTGGAGCTCTCAAGAACATGCGCAATTACGAAGGTCAGACACCAGCTGGAGACCGCAAAACAGACGTACTCGCAAGAGCCGTCCAACTGGTCAAGACAAAGACCGAGATAGTCGACTTCATTCTTGCAGCTTGCCCATACAAGTAAAAAAATAAACAATTACGAGTTAAACTTTTTATTCTTTCTTTTCTGAGTTGTTTAGAGCTGGTTTCTCTTGTAGGAACCTTTCGTACTCTTCCATGGTCATGTAATTGCGAATTTGGTACGCAATTCCAGGTTCGTTGTTTTTGAACCTTACGTATGTAACGCTTCCATCCTCCTCAGGGAAGTAAGCTGCTAACATCTGACCAAGTTTTCTCGGTGACTCGGAGCTCATAAAAATGTCACTTTTTAAACGTTAAGTTTTTAGTCTTATTTTACCCTTTGTTTACCCTTTGTTTGTCAAGGTAGTATTGGAGTGCAATTTCTCCAAATTCTCTGTGTCGGAGTTCTTCAGCATTTTCCAAGGTGTCCCTGGAGAACTCAAAGAAGTTGTCAAGAACATACTGCCATGCTGCTCTTCTGAGTTCGTCGGTATTTTGGAAGTGTTGCACCTTCGAGTCTTCGGACATGAAAAAATAACACTTTTTCTATTAAACCGTTTTGGCATTTCTCATGAGTGAGTATAGTTCTGCCGAACCATTGGAAGAGAAGAAGTACCCTTGCTGCAAAAGACAAAAAAAAATAGTTGCCTTAGTTGTCATTATTGTACTCGTAATTGAATTCATTGTACTTCTCTTCACGTACATAAAACTCAGCAATGGTATTTGCTTTAAGAAGCTACCATCTTACTAAGACTAAACACTTACATTTTTCAAGCTTGACTTTTTACAATTTGAATTTTGTTGCTGAATTCAGTAAAAATAATGTTTAGGGTAGAAGGTTAGATCTAACCTCTTTTCTAACCTCTTTTCTACCCTCTTGAATTTTCATGAATTTTATATATTAATGTTTTCGTTATGCCACTTTGAGCCGTCAGTCAGTTTAGGAAATTTACACCAAAAATAATGTTTAGGGTAGAAGGTTAGATCTAACCTGTTTTCTAACCTGTTTTCTACCCTCTTGAATTTTCCCGAAATAAAAAATAAAATTAGTTTTATTTTATTTATTTTTTTTATTTTGTATAAAAAATATGATTTCAACAATCGGCACAACAGCAATTCAAACAACTACAGCACCAAACTCGCTAGTCATGAATCCAACATCTATGTTGGTAGAGATGAAAAACTTCATTCCTTCTTCATATACTTTCGAAACAAAAATCCAGAAGATAAAGCAGGAATTGTTAACATGTAATTTAGACTGTACCCACAGGATGAAAACAAATGAACAGTATCTTTATGAAATGCAGGACATTATTGACCATTTACCCAAATTGCCTGAAATCCAACAACAAAAACTCACTATTCCTGAATTCGACGAAATTGAAGTGAAAGCAACTGACTCAGTAGAAATAAAGAAGTTCATACGAAAGGTAAATTATGAATTCCTTGGTTTTCATTGCAACCATAAAGTTATGGACAAAGATTGCGACATGGTATATAAGAATGTTTCTGACCTTTACAAAACCGGGAGTTTAAGACCTACGACAACTTTGTTTCGTTAGTTGCTGAATGTGTATGGCAGATAAGAGATAAAGATAGAAGAGGTAAGGTATGGAATGAACAGATAAGACCCGCTATGTTTGAGATGAAGAGAGCAATTGACGCCTTAGTTGTTCTAGCAGGTAAGGTTTCAGAATATAACGCAAAAATGAACCCGCAATGTTCTAAATGTAAGGCAGCAATTAGGAAATATAACTACTCAGTCAAAGAGATAGAACGTATGAGAAACGACTATGCAGATTTAAAGAAAGAAGCAGAAAAGCCAGCAGAAGATAAAATGGACATGTTAGAATTTCTGAACAAAAACTATCCAACTGCTGACGATTTCCTTCTATCTGACGTCAAGAAGAAGTATAAAGAGACTTTCGGTATCGTTAAAACATTCGATATCCTCAGCGAAGAAATAGAAGCTACAAAACTGTTTAGAGTCTCACGAATTCATAACGTTTACCATGTAAAACGCTTATAAATAACTGGGTAGAAAACAGGTTAGAAAACAGGTTAGATCTAACCTTCTACCCTAAAATATATTTTTGCTGAATTCAGCAACAAAATTCTGAGTAAAATAATTTTTAGGGCTTGTGTCAAACCGTTGAGTTTTCACAAAATTTAAAAAATAACGTTTACCATGTAAAACGCTTATAAAATAACTGGGGTAGAAAACAGGTTAGAAAACAGGTTAGATCTAACCTTCTACCCTAAACATTATTTTTGTCTGATTTACGCTCATTACGATGAAGAAGTCTTGACAAAACATGTATGTTTAGTTTCGATGAAATCATGACAAAGAATGTACGATGAAGAAGTCTTGACAAAACATTTACGAAGAAGTCTTGACAAAACATTTACGATGAAATCATGAAAATTCATGAGGTTAGAAAAGAGGTGAGAAAAGAGGTTAGATCTAACCTTCTACCCTAAAATATATTTTTGCTGAATTCAGCACAAAAATCTGAGTAAAATGGCATAAGATTGCTTCCCTCGAAACCCCAGTCGCCAAAACTCTATGAAAACAGTGAAGAACAGCGACCAGGGAAAAAAAACTTAGTCGCCTAAAACTCATGAAAATCGTGAAATTTCTCTAGACCGGATTTTACCGGCCTTGCCTAAAACACATGAAAATCATGAAGAACAGCGAGTACGTAAGAAAACTTAGTCGCCAAAACTCATGAAAATCGTGAATTTCCTTAAGACAGAAAAAATAAAGTTAGTTTTTTATAAAATATTTTTTTATTTTGTATGTAAGAACAGAAATGACAAACATTGAGTTTGAAACAGTTAGAAAGATAGACAATGACACCAAAGTGGTTAGAATAGGTGATTTAAACGTAAGATACTCAAAGAAATACAACAAATATTCTTTGTCAGACATTATATCTCCATCTGGAAAGAAAACATGGCATTGGGTTGGAATTGCTTCAACTCAGAAAATTTTGACAAGAAATCCTGAGCTTATGATATCGGTAAGATTCTATGGAACTACAGCATATCTTATAGACAAAAGTCTTATACATTTTTATGGTTAGACCCAGTTGTTGGATATAACTTCATAACATATGGTTCGTTCGACTCAGAACGTTGCAGTGAAGGCTTACTTTACATCGTTCAGAAACCGATAGGACTTCAATACAAAGAGATATAAGATAGGAAGAACATATAATATAACTCAAAGATATGACAGTACAGTCAATAGAGTTAAGGTTGTGTTCGTTAACGATATGAGAGCTGCTGAAACAGAACTACTTGAAAAGTTTGAGAAAATATATAAAAGGTAAAGAAACGTTTGAAGTAGATAGATAGATAAAAGCTATAAAATTATTTGACGAAGTTGCTGAAAAATACATGTAAAGCGTTTATTTTTGGTCTTTTGTGAAAGACAGAAAAAATAAAGTTAGTTTTATTTTTATTTATTTTTTTATTTTGTATGTAAAGACAGATATGTCAACAACAGAGAACACAAAAAACAGTTATAGTCCATGAAGCCATAAATGAAGAATATGAGTACATACAGATATAAACAGTTACGTCTCATTCGTTTCAAAGACGATATGTACCAAATGCAAAGTATTTTGAACGCTCTTCGTTCTACAAAGCAAGCATATCATTGGTTTGAAAACCAACAGACAAAAGAACTTTTAGAAGAATTTCCTCATATGTTTGCTTCCCTCGAAAAACCGAGGAATGAGATTCCGTATGAAAATCGTGAAAAATTGCCAAACGGTTTGAGAGGATATTATGTACATAGACTTCTTGTAAATGCTGTTGCAATGTGGGCTTCGCCTCGTTATGCTTGGTATATTTACAGACTTCTTGACGAAATTCATAGACAAGAACGTGAAGAGCTAGAGAACAAGCTTGAAGCAAAAGACAAAAGCATTCAGAAAAGAATACCACGTTCGGTACCAAAAGGTAAGGAAAAGAACTATAAGTATATGATTTATACTGAAGAGATGGAAAATGAAGAAGATAAGATATGGTTATTGTTCATTTAGTCAGAAGAAACAACAAAAGCTTTTACGACCTTGCTAAGATTTACAAATCTGACAGAAATTGGTTCTATCGCGAAACTTACCGATTTCAATGACACCGAATGAAGATGTGAAACAAATAGTTCAAGATACTTTACCTCAAACACACTATGAATATTAAAGGTTGTACAATTCTTACCTTCAAAGAAGATTTGCCATTGTTAAAGGAAAAAAATAACAGAGTATTTGACAACTTCAAACAAGCAGAGTAAATGAACTCTTTATTTTTCAAGCTTGACTTTTTACAATTTGAACTTTGTTTGCGTAGATATGAATTCTGAAAGAAGTATGAGGGTCTTGTATGACTTTGTACTTCTCCCATAGTTCATGTCTGTCAAACTTACCTGCCATGGACTCTTTCATAAGTTCCATGAAATCGTCTTCGGACAATCCGGGGAAAAGTATTATGTCAGTAAGTATTCTTTTAACATCCTTACTTAAACTCTTGGCTGTCTGTACACATATTACGACTGAGATGTTAAAGTGTCTGAGCTTCTTAAGAATTCGACACATGTCTTGTTCTCTGTTCTTTAACAAAGGATGAGAAGCAAAGTCATCTAAGATAAGAAGACATCTGTTGAGGGTAAGTTCTTCCATCGTAAGATTGCAATTTCTTCGAAATGTATTCTATCTCTTTCTGTTTTGTTTCTGAAGTGTTTCTTCTCTAATATTCTCTGCATTTCCTCATTTGGGTCTTTGAACTTAGAATTTATATACTCATTTATAGCATTATACTTCAAAACTCTTCTTTGGTACTTCTTTATCCAATCTAACAACTCAGTATCCTTTATACATACCTAACTTAGACTTCTTTATAATATCTTTGAACGAATTGACGGTTTGGTCAAATTGACCAGAAGTCGAACAAATAACAACTAACTCATAAAATGGGTTCTTCTCATCTAGTTCTTGTTGTTGTGCAGCCATTTTAAGATAAGTGAAAGTCTTACCCGACCCAGGTGGTGCGATTAGACCTGTTATACCATTCTGAGCAAATAAGAACTTGTCATGTATAGGTTTTATCTGAGCATTTTCTAACTTCCTCTTGTTCTTCTTCAAAACATTCTCAAATTTCTTGTCAATGTCAGCAAACTTTTTTTTCTAACATATTTTTAGAAAAATTAAAATTTTTATCTTTTAGAAAATTGTCTAGCGATTTCGCTATCTATATTCGAGACAAACTTTTTGACAGCAAAACATCTGTCGACCATAAAAATCTTACATAGTGTAAACAAGAAAGGTGAATTTGTTCTAAAGTTCTGTTTCTGGGAATATGACAAGAACCATAAAACATTACAAAGAGCAGTCTTAAAATTTGTCAATGACAGACTTGTTGACAGAGATGACACCGATTGGAAAGATGAAGTCCAACAAAAGTTCTTAGAATGCAAAGAAGACACATGCGCTGTTCTGAAGATGAAATAGAAAACAGAATAGAAGAGCTATTAAAGGACAAAGAACTTTTACATAAATATGGTTCTGAGAAATTTGACATAACTCCACCAGAAAGAAGAAGAAGAGAGAAAGAAAGAAAAGAAGAAAAGAAAGTAGAAGAGAAGAAAGAACCTGAACCAGTTCCAGAGAAGGTGAGATATGACATGTAAAAATAAAATTTTATTTTTAGAACATTTCTGGGTCAATGTCAATGTTCTCTTCCTCTTTAGGAGCAAAACACTGGCTTTAGACTCTAAAATCTTTTTACCCAATTTACCTTGAACTTCAACTATCTTAGACTCATATTCATAGTCGTCTGTCTTCTTTGGTTCATAAGGTTATAACAAGTTTGTATGCTTTGCCTTCTTTAAGGTTTGAGAACCTTCTGTCAAAATTTTCTTTGACTGTTAACAAACCTTCTATGTCTAAGTCTTCAAATTTCGCACCATTTTTAGTCACAATAGCAAACTTAACTGGTTCGATGTTCCAAACTTTGTCAAATGTAGACTTTTCAAAATGGTAGAAGTAAACATTCAAATATGTGAATGGGTCTAGTTCTTCTTTGACTTCTGTCATGTACTTATTTACTGAGATGAATTTGTCATCTTTTTCTATCGGATAAAAAAAATATTTTTTTTTTAAACGTTTTAAAATGGTATGCCATATAGCTTCTTGAATTTGTTAAGAAGTATTCGAACGTGTTTCCATCTGTATCTCTAGTGTTTACATAAGCATAGCCTGCCTTAGTAAAATATACTTGTAATTTCCTATAGTTTACGCCGGTATAAAAGTAGAAAGAGTCTTGTTCTTCGCTATAGTAGTAAAACTCAAACGTATGCTCGCCATAGTCTGTAATTTCAATTGTTTCATCTTCTAGTTCGTCGACAAATTCGAATACAATATCTCCAATTTGCCTTTGTTCTTATTGTTTCGAACGAGTGACCCAACGTAAGTTTTCAAGTCTATTGTCGTTTCTTATACGGTTTATATGGTCTACAAAAGGTAAATTGTTAGGATTCAGTATAAAATGAGTTGCAATGACAACATGTTTAAAATAGTGTTTTCCACCCATCTTCATAACAGCATATCCGTTATTCGCTCCCATTCGCTTAAAACTCTTTTTGTCTTTTTGTTTCTGACTTCAAATGACTCACAACAGTGAATTTCATATTTCTCATCTAACAAACAAGTTTCCCAACGGTCTGCTCCAACAAACTCAGCGTACATTTCAAATAAAATAAAAAAATATTTTTTTAAAAATATATTGTTTTAAAATAGTATGCCATTTCATATTTCTCATCTAACAAACAAGTTTCCCAACGGTCGTCTCCAACAAACTCAGCGTACATTTCAAATTCGAATAAAAAAATATTTTTTTCTTTACTTAACATAACCGCCTGCTGCCATAAGTCTTTGACGCAACCCATACCAGCTAATGAAGGTTGACTTGGTTTAGTTTCCAAACTAAACTTTGGTTTTGGTTTATCTTCAGTTTTGGTTTTTCTTC